TTACTCCACACATCGACCGCTATCCAGCATGCATCTAGTGTATTAAGTTCATGGAGAAACGGAGTAATGCAATAAGAACGATGACATGATGTAGACAAGATCTATCTATGTAGAGATAGACCCCATCGTTTTATCCATAGTAGCAACGATACATATGTGTCGGTTCCCCTTCTATCACTGGGATCAAGCACTGTAAGATCGAACCCACTACAAAGCACCTCTTCCCATCACAAGATAAATAGATCAAGTTGGCCAAACAAAACCCAAATATCGAAGAAGAAATACGAGGCTATAAGCAATCATGCATAAAAGAGATCAAAGAAACTCAAATACTTTCATGGATATGAAAAGATAGATCTGATCATAAACTCAAAGTTCATCGATCCCAACAAATACACCACAAAAAGAGTTACATCATATGGATCTCCAAGAGACCATTGTATTGAGAATCAAGAGAGAGAGAGAGAGAGGAAGCCATCTAGCTACTAACTACGGACCCAAAGGTCTACAAAGAACTACTCACGCATCATCGGAGAGGCACCAATGAAGGTGGTGAACCCCATCCGAAATGGTGTCTAGATTAGATCTGGTGGTTCTAGACTCTGCGGCGGCTGGATCAATATTTCGTCGACTCCCCTAGGGTTTTGAGAATATTGGGGTATTTATAGAGCAAAGAGGCGGTCCAGAGGGCACCCGAGGTGGGCACAACCCACTAGGGCGCGCCTGGGCCTCCTGGCACGCCCTGGTGTGTTGTGCTCCCCTCGGGGCACCCCCAGGCGCAGCTAGGGCCCATTGTGTTCCTTATGGCCCATAAAAATTCTTCGTAAAGTTTTGTGGCATTTGGACTCCGTTTGATATTGAATTTTTGCGATGTAAAAAACATGAAAAAAACAACAACTGGCACTTGGCACTATGTCAATAGGTTAGTACCAAAAATGATATAAAATGACTATAAAATGATTATAAAACATCCACGGTTGATACTATAACAACATGAAACAATCAAAATTTATAGATACGTTGGAGACGTATCACTATCTCTCTCTCTCTCTCTCTCTCTCTCTCTCTCTCTCTCTCTCTCTTGTGTGTGTGTGTATTGTGCGAGTGGGGTAAGGATCCAACGGCCAAAATGAGCGATTTGATGACCCATAGGTTGACCTATTTAACGTTTGCACCAGTTGCCCGACGTTGAGCATTGCCCTTCTCAAATAAAGACACACACATTATCATTTTAAATAAATGATATTTTCAATCATTGAGCGTTATTAAACAGATCCGGTTAGTTTTGGAAGTGTATTCTGATCGGGACACATAGGAACACAGACTTCCTGTCCCTCTAAGCATATGGACTGGCTAGGTGTTAGGTGACTGAAAAACCAATTTAGATTAGTCAATTCGTAATGAGCAGTTGGATGCAAGATGGATGATCAGATCGGCTTCTTCAACATCCATCCATTATGTTCATCTTCTTCCCCAGCCGTTCCACGAACTGTCAGTCACCACTGTCTGCGGCCGGCGGCACTCTCGCGCTAGCCTCACCGCCCCATCCTCCCCTCAACTGTTGCCGCCTCCCCCGGGCATCCCTCTAACCCCGAGATGGTGTCTAGATTGGATCTGATGGTTCTAGACTCTATGGCGGCTGGATCAATATTTCGTCGACTCCTCTAGGGTTTTGAGAATATTGGGGTATTTATAGAGCAAAGAGGCGGTCCGGGGGGCACCCGAGGTGGGCACAACTCACCAGGGCGCGTCTGGGCCTCCTGGCGCACCTTGATGGGTTGTGCTCCCCTCGGGGCACCCCCCAGGCGCAGCTAGGGCCCGTTGTGTTCCTTATGGCTCATAAAAAATCTTAGTAAAGTTTTGTGGCATTTGGACTCCGTTTGATTTTGATTTTGTGCGATGTAAAAAATATGGAAAAAACAACAACTGGCACTTGACACTATGTCAATAGGTTAGTACCAAAAAATGATATAAAATAACTATAAAATGATTACAAAACATCCAAAGTTGATAATATAACAGCATGGAACAATCAAAATTTATAGATACGTTGAAGACGTATCACTATCTCTCTCTTGTGTGTGTGTGTGCATGTGTGTGTGTGTGTGTGCGTGCGCGCGTGCGGGTGTGGGTGTG